CTCCTTCTTCTCTAGTATTGCTGCCCCTGGTCCCACCTCCTTTGCTGGGGGATGGTTACAGATCCCTGGGTGGATGCCTTGTGGGTGTGGGTTCTGACCCACGGGCTTTACTTTACTTTTTATTGACTATTCCCTACTCTTGACTGCTGGCACTAACAGGGTGCTTATTTATTAATCTTGCAAAATGGCACCAGAAACACTTGTACAATGCAAAAACGAACACTATAAGTATATAAAATAGAAAGTGAAAGTACCCTTCTTCTTATAAATCTGCTTTTCAGAGGAAGTATACTATTAAGAGGTCATAACATAGCATTTTAGACTTTCTTATAGGATATAGACTTTCATATAGGATCCATGGTATCTCCTACTCCATCTAAGGCCTTCCCAACTAACAGAAACTGTTAATAGGCCCCAACTAGACAGAAACATTCTCTTTATAAGTTACTATGATTATGAAAATTTCTTTTCATGACATATATGACAAATTATTCACATATGCAATGTATCTAGTAATAAAATGAAGTAATCTTACTCTTCTATGGCTTCCTTAGGATAGTCTTAATAACCACACAAGTAATAATGGGATACATTCTGATTGCAAAAATTTAAACAGTGAATAAATCTGTAGAGGAAAACAAAATTGGCATATGAAAATGATTTCAAGGTGTATATTTTAATAAAGGGGCTAAGAATGTATTTGCTTTATCCATGAGCCATTTGCCTAGGGTCCATAGTCACTTATAATCTAAAATACCTTTTTTCTAAATGAGCTTTCCTTTTAAAATGCTGGTATAGCCATGATAACCATTGTGGCCCTATGACATTGTCAAATATGAGATTGGGGGAAATGTTCTGCTTGGATAGTCAATATGCACCTATTTGAAATAATTTCACTGGGAGATCAAGCTATACAAGGATATTAACATGCTTATAATATTATTTTCTGAAGATATTGGAACATTTTATCAGGCTTAGCTGTCATCCTATATCCTTAAAGTAGAGAAACACTGTCATCATTAATGCCATGGAGAAGCAGGAGAACAAAATGCTTAAATGAGTAAAAACTATAATGAGAATAGAATTAATTTCTATGAATGCTCAGGGACTTTGTACAAAACATTTCTAGTACCCTTTATTTTTAATAATCATTATTTCATTATCATTACTATTTAATGCATGATTATTAGTAGTAGATACTAGCCTAAGTACTTTATATGCCTCATCATGTAAATCTCATTTAATCCTCATTACTGCCCAATACATTGTTTTACTGTCCTTAATCTATAGATGAGTAAACTAAACCCTAGAAAGATTAACTAATTATGCATCTGGAATAGTTTCTGATACCCATGTTTTGTCCCCAATGTTTGGTGGCTTCTACTACTTTTCCAGTTGGTATTCTAGATGTAGTATCTAGGATCCATGGTATCTCCTTCTTTATCTAAGGCCTTCCCAACTAACAGAAAAAGTTAACAGGTCCTGGGCTAGGGTTGTGGCTCAGTAGTAGCGTGCTCGCCTAGCATGCATGAGGCACTGGGTTCGATTCTCAGAACCACATAAATGTAAAATAAAGATATTGTGTCTACCTAAAACTAAAAAATAAACATTAAAAAAAAGAAACAGTTAACAGGTCCTAACTGGACAGAAACAGTTCTCTTTACAAATTACTATGGTTATGAAAACTTCTTTATTGAATGCAATCCATCAGTTGAATAATTAGAGAAGAATTTTATATAATTACATGGCTCAGTGTAAGTAAGCGGTATATTCAATAAAGGGTTATTTGAGCTCTGGTAAATGACAGGTGTAAAGACTATGATGGATAAAGCTGAATTAAGCACAAGTCTTATCTTTAAGAGTCACAGTCCAAAGGATTTTGAGGGAAATTGAAGATTTATGGCCTTTGCATTGAATAGCTTGTCATATTATTCAAATCTGTACTTTATTTGAAGCTGAATTCTTGGTCTGAAACAAATTGCTGTGTTACAGTGATCTTCCAATAGGGAAATAAAATCTGCTTATGATATGGTTTATGGGAATCCATTATGACAAAATAGAGAGACTGCCTTTAGCACCACAGGACAGGGAAGGTTTAATATATTCTTTTCAGCGCTTTCACTCAGGGAGGTGCTGTAACTAATAATTCATTCACTTGGAGATGGAGAGATGAAGAAACTTTTCCATTTTCCCTCCTAAATCACTAGGCAACTAGAGAAAGCTTTAGAATATAGACCAAGAGACACATCATGAGAAGCCTTGACTTATGCCTTTTTTAAAGTCTCAAGTTTTATTTTGAGTTTCTTTTCAGCTCTAACCTCCAAAATTTACTTTGAGCTCCATAATTACACTTCCTTCAAATTTCTAAAAATGTCTTGGTTTTTAATAGACTGGATAAGTTAACATTATGAGGCTATGGCATAGGTTAAGCGGAACGCCTAAGAATTCAGATGAAATTCAAATACATTTTCATACAAGGTTGACATGTAGTCATCAAAAGGTCTTAGTACAGAAAGGATCCTTTTTGTGACTGTGCAGTGCCTGATGAGTTATGTTAATTGCATTTCAGACCCACCAGACCTTCCTCACTGTGGAGAAATATGAGAACACTACAGCATCGTGGCAGATAATGTATAATGATGCCTCCTGGGAGACTCGGTGAGCATGACTATGGAATATTTTGTCTTTGTATATGTGTAAAGCCTCGAAAAGAGTTGGTTAGTAATGCAGGAAAGGAAAATGAGAAGACTGACTCTATATGGTATTTATGGTATCAAAGTCCCCAGGATTCTCTGGCTTTATTTAATTGATTTTTTTTTAGACAAAACGGTGTGGTGTGTGCTTTTACAATGTTAGGTGCTAATGAGGTTATGGCTCCTGTCTTATAGACATCTTGGCAGTTTTTTTCTTTCCATGATTATAGGTATTACCCTTAAAAAATTGACTAACCTTCTTGCAGATTGGTTGAAAGGGATCTTGGTTGAGGGAGCGGGGATGTATCTACAGAGCTCAATGTTCCTATTGGGTAAAGAACAAGTCTATTTTCAACTTGTAATGCTTGTTTGTATATGGCCAGTGATTCTTTATTTGAACTATTGAAACTTAAGAAGTTACATTTAATTTAATTAATCACATTTAATTCTTATAGATGCAAGAAAAGAGGTAATAAGCTCATGGCATTCCTTCAGAGAAATACATACATCTCAGTGTCTTTTATTACCAGATTCTTGAGCTGAATAGATAATTTTAAGATTTTGACAATGTGTCTGAAATAAGAAAATATTTTTATTCTAAAGTCTATAACTCTCACACCATAAAATGTGGCATTTGGCAATTTGTGTCTGATTCAGATTGTTTTAAACCAAGTAATTCTCTGCATGCTGGTTTGGTTCACATGGTTAACTAAAAATAAGGATTTATCATATTGTGGTATTTTTGATAGCTATATATAATGTTTTAGTTAGCTTTGTGTGTCACCCGTGACTGAAAGACCTGATATGAGCAACTTAGAGTTGGAAAAATTTATTTTGGCTGATAGTTTCAGATGTTCAGTTCATGGTTGGCCAGCTGCATAGCTTTGGGCCTGAGGTAAGGGAGAGCATCATGGAATAGGGGCTTGGAGGAAATCTGCTCAGAACATCCAGGAAACAGAGAGAAGAAGCAGAAAGAGTTCCATTTACCAGAGACAGAATATTAATTCAAAAGGCATATCCCCAGAGACATACTTCCTCCAGCCACACCCTACCTGTTACAATTACCATCCAGTTAATCTACGTCAGTAGATTAATCCACTGATTAGGTTACATACCTCATAATCTAATCATTCTACCTCTAAACTTTCTTGCATGGTCTCACAAATGAGCTTTTGGGGGACCCTTCGTATCTAAACCATGACATACAAATACAGGCATGGGTTTTCTTTGGTGTGTAGGAATCTAAAATATAGGCAGTTTTTAAACAATACATATTTATTGTTAGAAAATGGTTATAGTGATAACAAGAAAGGATGATTTATTTTCAAAAGCTAAACCAGAATACCTGTCAGCACTGAGGATATGTTCAGACCTCTGTCTTGTTCATCAGGGTAGTTTGGTCAAATATTTATGGGGAGCACTGAGGCAGTCACTGAGACACACAGAACGTTGATCATACCCTCTTTGCCCAAGGTATTTACTTTCTGCACAGCTGAGGGATTGGCTAGTTATGCCATTGTGTTTCTTACAAAGGGTCTGGTCTCTGTGTGATCTGAGCCCATGTTTCTCTCATCTCACCACTCTTGCCCAGTTCACTGTTCCTGCTGACCTCTTTTCTGTTCCTTGGCCACTGCAAATTATTTTCTTCTTTGGGCACTTTGTATTCTCTGTATTCACTTTGATTTTCCTCCTCCAGGCATGTGTGGACTCAGTGTAAATGAGGACTCCTTAGAGAAGGGTCTTAGTCTTATTGTCTTTGTTGCACTTCTTACTCTCGAAATTCTAAAATGTATGGGTTTATTACCTTTATTCCCATACCTACACCAATAAAATGTTAGGTTCATGAAACTTTAAACAATCTTTAAACCATCTTTATCTTGCTCACCACTGTATCTTTAGCTCTTGTGTCTCAAAATATACATTTTAAACAACTAAATTGATATGAAAAGAAGTATCAGAGTCTGATAAGGACAAAAAGGATGCTATAGAAATTTAAAACAGGGGACATCTATGTTCTGACTATCATGGAAGGCTTCCTGGGGTGGACAGAGTTTAGGTAGTTAGAAGGATAGAAGTAAAGATATTTCTACAAATAGCTGTTCTCTTCTAGAAAATAGGCATTTATGTCTATTCTGTTCAGTGTTATATCCTCAATGTCTAGAATAGAGCCTTGCTCAATGTAGGCCCTGCTTGAATATTCATTGAATGAATAATCACAAAATTTTTTTTTTGGTACTGGGGACTTAACTCAGGGGTGCTTTACCACTGAGCTACTACATTTCCAGCCCTTTTACTAATCATACTTTTTAAAATTAATTAATTTATTTATTAGGTATATATGACAGCAAAATGCATTTTGATTCATTGTACACAATTGCAGCACAACTTTTCATTTCTCTGGTTGTACACAATATAGTGTTGTACCATATGTGCAGTCAAATGTGTCAAAGAGTAAAATGGTGTTTTGCTTATTTGTTTTCTACCAACAGATTTTATTGGCACAAGGGATTTCTGGGTCGGAGCAATGCAACCATAGAATGGCATATTCCAGACACAGTCCAGCCAGGAATTTACAGAATAAGATATTTTGGACATAATCGCAAGATGGAGATCCTGAAGCCCGCGGTCATACTTCCATTTGAAGGCATTTCCTCCATTTTTGAAGTTGTAACTACTTAGTGAAAAGCTGATATTTATTTTAAAGACCAGCTTTACTCTGTATGTACTGACTGCACCTGAATGTGAACTACCATTTGGACTTCTATGATCGCCCCTGTTTGGGGACAGATAGTTTACTGCTAATGGGACAGAGGCGTGTGTGTGTGTGTGTGTGTGTGTGTGTGTGTGTGTGTGTGTGTGAGAGAGAGAGAGAGAGGGAGAGGGAGGGAGGGAGGGAGGGAGGGAGAGAGGGAGAGGGAGAGAGGAGAGAGGGCAGGGAGGGAAAGAGAGGTGTGTCCCATCGTCTTACTACAGTGGCCAAGCACCTAGCAGTTCACAACCTAAAGCATGATTTCCCTGAAGGCTTTGCGATTATTTAAGGGACAGTTCCCTTCGATACAAAGCCTCTGAAATGTTAGTGAGAGTTTTCTGGAAGACTCTGCAAAAATCCTCTAGATTAAGCCTTCCTTTTATGGATGGAAAAAAATGAGATTTTTTTTTTTTCGATTTAAGATTAGAATAAGGTTATAAGACCTTTCCTCCAATTGCATTTAAAATATTATGTAACCTTACATAAGTGTATGAGCTCGTTTAGAGAAACAGAAAATTAGCATGCCAGTTTTTATATCCAATTAAGCATAGTCCATCAAAGTAGTCACTCTGGAGTTGGTATGCCTAGTTCAGAGCCATTGATGATGCTCACATCATTTCTGAATTTCCTTCAGAGCCCAACTGTGAGAAAGTCAGACTTGCAATATTTTGATCATGCCTTTTATTGCCTTAAGTGTCCTTATCCTGCTGGATTGTGTCTCTTATTCTCAAAACTTAATCTAAATGATTTTTGACTCTTTTCCAATCAAATTCACCCCAAACCACAAAGCTTTGTCATTAGGATAGAGTTTTCAGTGGGAGTTTTACTGGCTGGAAGGAAGTCCTCAAAGGTAGGTTCTAAAGTCTCTTATCAATTCTTTTATCAGTTGCTCACTTGCTCATTCACATACTCACTTATGGACCTGTTCAGGTGTAGAATATTTACTAAATTTACATGTCCAGCATTGTCCTAGTATTTGGACCTTGACAATTAGTGAGATCGTATTTGAGACAAAATATGTGTTAAAAGATAACTATTTTGAGGGAGAAAATTTTGAATTTGATACATAAGTTCTGGAGAGACATTTAAAAATCAGAAGTCATAAAATTGCATGTTGTGTGACTTCTGTATTAGACATTCTAATTGGGGAGAATAGAGGCTGCAGACAATTTTGTAAATAACATTTTTAAAGTTATTTGGGGGGCATTGTGAAATACCCAGTTGGATGTTCCAAAGAATGAAAAATGATAGTCTAACATCAATTGCCTGAAAGTACTAATTGCATTTAAAATTATCTAAGTTATCTAGGAGCTCCCAGACTGCAAAGTAAATTTCCAAACTCCAAGTCACAGATTTTTGTATGTGTGAAAAAGCTTTAACACTTTAGGACAAAATCAATTTTTATTTCAAAAACAAACTTTAAGATTTAATAATAATAATATTAATAATGATAATACTAACATTCATTTATATATAGCTGAGCAACTCAAACATGATAAATTGAATTAGAATGAACCTGGAACACTTTTTGATGAATCAGTACTCCAGAGGGTTTTCTATGAAAGTCCACTGCTAAAGGATTAGCTAATGAGAATTTCCAAGGCTTGTTATCATTTTTCTTAATACCATATTTAAACATAAAAGTTTAGGAGCCAAAAGAACAGGTGATTCTGAAAGTAATCAACCCCAACCAAAATAATAATTACATTAGAACTTATGATATGGGTTTTTAAAGTATTAATCACTACTCAGAAGAATTTATCAATTATTTTCCAACATCTCCATTCCTCCTATTGCATATGTTCTCAAAAAGTTTGATTCCTTCTTGTTCATGGGCAACTGTATAAGGTGGTCTTTTGTCACCTGTGATCCTTCTGCCCCTCTGTTGAGTGCTTTTGCTCCCAGATAGACAGACACTTATTACCTCACTAGCTATCACTTCTTCCACCCCATGTAGCTGTATTTTTTGTGGTGCATAAAAGTAAAACAGAATTTCTGCATTATAGATACACCTGAGCATGAACCATAATAATTCACCGGAGCATGAAAGAATCCCACTAAGTATCTAATCTGATCTAATAATCTAAAAGCGGACTCAGTCTGTGTCTGTGACTGCTGCTGGGAATGGCTCATTGGAGCATAACCATGTGAAGGAAACTCCTAAAAATGGCAGGCAGTGTGGAAAATGGTGGGTTGGGTTGGAGGGAGAACTGTTTTGGAGAAGATTTTGTTTCTCATGTCAAAATGTCTGTGTTTTATTAGTTGTACTCTGCCTATTCTGATTTATATGATACTGTGACTTCTGCAAAAAGCAATGAATGATTGATTCTTCTTCCAGGTCTGTATTTTTTCGATGAGTATTCTGTAAAACTGTTAATATTCAATAGACTATTTAATAATAAATTAAGAATTACACTTGGTATTTTCTAGTGAAAAATAATGTAGACAAATTAACACTTGTTTTTTTTTTTAAGAGAGATATGAAGGTAATAGATTACATGTAAATCAGATTGGAGAGGGAAACAACTTCTGTAAAGAACCACTCAAACAAAATAGAGTTACTTCTTCATCAGCTCCTTCCCAACCTCTGAAGATCAACTACTGGTAAAACACATGTGGTTGGCATTCTGTTTACTTACTTGGTCAACTTAGAGTTTCCTAGGCAGGTAGCTAATTATAAAATTGTTTTATGAGCTAATTCTGAACAAAGATACCAATAACAAATTTATTTGTGAATATCTTTTTCCAATCTACTCTCTTATGCTTGTTTTACAGTGTAAGCAAGATCACTGTACTTTTCTGAATCAGCACAAGGGTTGAAGCTTCAGGCAAATAATCTCATCACTAGATGGTCACCTCATGTTTTCAGTGATTACAAATAGTATTTTTGGTTCCTGGGTATCCAGTGTAACTTTCTGCTTTATACTGGCTCTTGACATTAAGATAAGATAAGAAAAAAAAGATAAGAAAAATAAATAAATAAATAAAAAAAGATAACATAAAATGCTAGAGATAGACGCTCACATATTCCCGTATGTTAAGGTTTGGGTATGAGGTGCCCCCCAAAAGCTCACATGTGAGACTATGCAAGAAGGTTTGGAGGACAAATGATTGGGTTATAGCTTTACCTAATCAGTTAATTAATCCCTGATGGGATTAACTGAGTCGTAATTGGAGGCAGGTGGGATGTGGCTGGGGGAAACAGTTCTTTGGGGGCGTGGCTATGGGGTATATATTTTGTATCTGGAGAGTAGAGGCTCTCTCTCTGCTTTCTAATCACCATGTGAGCTACTTCCCTCTGCCATTCTCTTCCACCATGATGTTCAGCCTCACCTTGAGCCCCGAGGAATGGACATGGCTGTCTGTAGACAGAGACCTCTGAAACGTAAGCCTCCAAATAAACTTTTTCTTCGCTACAATTGTCCTTTTAGTCACAGTGGTGAAAAAAGCTGACTAAAACATCACACAATTAGGTAGGGTGTATTCAATGGGAAGTAACAAAATATTCCTAATAAACAGTAGTCCAACCATTAAAGACCACTAACAATACGTATGATCTCACACTGTAATCAGTCTTGAGGTGGCAAATTCAGGTTTTGGATAGCCACTCAATTATGTCATTGAAACATTTTTAAAAAACATGTTGGCCTTAATTCTTTGGTTTATATTCTCAGTCAAAAAACGTTTTTATACAATTGCATACAGAAGGAAAAGGGGAGAGGAAAGTTCTTTTCAGAATCTCTTTTTGGAAGATTGAAAATATTTAGTGGAGCACAAGTAGAATTTCCCTTCAATTTCCTTGTCCAGATCTGTGCTGCATGGCTACTCTTAGCTGCTAGGGAGGATTGGAAAGAGAATATTTGGTATTTTCTATTTCTAGAGAGGAGGCTAGTAATATTAATAGCAAGAATAAAGCAAGAATAGCAAAAATAAAGACATGGAGAAAGCAGATATTACCAAGCATGTTAATCAGGACAGATTAGATATGTAGCAACATTAGAGATTTATTTCTTGATTTATGAAATGTCCATTGTGGTCATCTGGAGAATCTGTTCTACATCTCAGGGACACAGCCTGATAGAAGGTCACACCTAAAACAGATTTCTATCATTAGGGGAAGTGGATCTGTGTTTCTGTGATTGGGGGTAGTGAACATAGAAATCACACATCAACTATTGAAGCTGCCACGTGACTTTTCTTTTTATTACCAGCCCTGCAGGTTACCATAATATACAAGTGCTTATATACAAGTGCTCAAGCCTCAGTTTCTTCATCTCAACATACCAAACTTAATTTCTCTTCAAAATAACTGGAGCTTGATTTACCTTAGGAAAAATATTTTCAGAAAGAAAAGATGATGGAAAGGAATTACGATTTATATTACAGACTGTATGCATTCCTTTAGCAAATGTTAAGCACTTGTGTACTTTGTGACTGGCATTGTGCTAAGCCTTAAGGATAAAACAAGGATGAAAGCACAGCTAGTTTTTTTTTCCATCAAGGAACTTAGAGTTTAATGGACAAAGTAGACAAGTAAACAGGCAATCACTGTACAGAGTGACCCACATGGCTACAGTAGTTCAGAGCATTGGAGACAGCACTCATAGAGTCTGGGTGATATTGCACTAGGTTTCTCAAAAGAAATGACATCTAAATTAAGACCTAAAATATATGTGGAAATTAGCTAGAAGGATAATGGTGTGTGTGTGTGTGTGTGTGTGTGTGTGTGTGTGTG